CTGCAACAGTGCACAAGGGATGGAACATCTACGGGAAATAAATCTGACCTACCCATGTTCATCTAGCAATCAGATGCACCAGAAACTTTAAATCAGATCTCCTCAGACCTTTTAAAGGACTTCTTTCGCACATGATTCTTTCTGCTCAGCTCAGACTAAAAATTCTTTTTTTTTCCTTATCAAAAGCCAAGTGAAAAAATAAAGACATATTTCCTCCCCCTTTGCCACCCCAAATTTCCACAGTCTTGCTACAAGCAAGATAGGCATTGCATATGCTTAAAAAAATAACTAGAAAACACCTAGAATAAAAAACCATGGAACCTTCCAAGAAGTAAAGGAAGACACAATGTGAATCAACTGGCTAATGGTTGAATCTTCTCAAATTCATGAAATAAAATAATCAAATAAACAGTGCCAGAACAACCCTCTACCATTTTATGCAACAGGATTATTCAGCTGTTTGTTTATTAAACAATATAAGGATTGTAGGCATTTCTGCCACAGGATCCAGTCCAAGTTTCACTAACATTGACAGCCCTGGATCAAGTCCATGGTAAATATCCAGTGTAAATTCAATCCTATAAACAAACGTCCACATAGATTCAGCCCTACAAACATTTAAACAGATACTTTACTATTATTATTTTGATAGCATATTACATATGCATATGAATCTTTCCAGCCCATCAATTCCCAGCTGCAGAGGTAGGCATGGCTTAGAAGAAAGAGCATTAGCTCCAGAGCACATCAGAGACCACGTCAATCAATTCCTACAGTCTGGCCTGGCTGGGCTTCTCACCAGCAGCGCTGGAGTGGGAGGCAGAGTCAAGGAAGAAGCATCAGTATCAGGTGTGAGAGGGAAAAGCTGAGATAAGAGGAATGAGGCGACAGTGGGAGTAGCAAGACCCACATACAAAAAAAGTCAGGGACTCTGCCACAGCCCACCCCTTTAGCAAGGAGACACTGCCTTTTGAACCCTCCATTGGCAGGCAGCTTCTCTGCTGCATTGAACCCAAACTGCCTGCCTCTATTCACAAGAGCCTTTCCACAGTCCTCATGTGACCCATCATCTCTGCCGCTGCACTGAGGTTCACATCTCCCAAGAGTCATTAGCCAGTGACAGCCATTACCAGATTTTAAAAGTGGTGTATCTGTGGTCTTTCAAACTGGTCATTCCATGAAGACTGCAGATCCAAGACAATCCCTGAGAGACATTAATTTTTCTTATTCATATCATTCCTTAAAACTGTTTTTGCCTTTATGCCCACACAAAATGCGCACGCACATGTACAAGTCTTTACAATAGTTTGGCAGTGCACCCAATATTGACATGTGACAATATTGTTTCCCAGTACTCTCTCTCTCAGCCTTGTGGTTTGGGGTTTTTGGTTTGCCTTTGACTGCCAGCTCTCTGCTGCGGGGTTCATCTTTTGTGGTAGGTATTGTGGAAACCTAAAACAATTGATTCTGGTACATACCCAAGACTCTGAGGTAATATTACAATAAAAAATAATGAGAAAGGGATGCAGTTCTGGCTATGGATTGATTCTGTGGTCTTTGTTCCACGTAGCCGGACCCCACGAGTAAAAACTGTAAATAATACTCTTTGTTTCAGAGTGATTGTGCTCGTTCCAATCTATTAGTGTTCTTATTACACTGTTCAATGGTCATTTTGGGGGTAAGACACAGCAGTGCACCTCTGCCTTCAGCTTTAAAGACAGTACACTTTTGGAAAAGCAAGAGGCATTTAGTCCTTTCCTGAGACTTTGTTTACAGCTAGACAATTTAGCCTTAAGAGCAACTTCTTTATTGTTTCTACGTGCTTTGATTACATGCCATACCTATGGAAAATAGTCACGTCACATTTGGAAATCATTCTTTAAAGGTAACAGGGTCCTGAAAATCAGGTCTGACAAAAAGAAGGTAACCTGAATCCATTGCATTCTTTCCTTCATCTAAGGTGACAGGAGAAGAGAAGTTACAGAGCGTGTGAAACTTTTCACAACAGTCCGTACCCCTTGTTACCAAATTCCAATAAATCTCACATGCCTCGAGTCTTAAAAAATAAAAAAAAAAAAGAAATAAAAAAGAGAAAAGAAAAGAAAAAACACAACCCTAGGGAAGTCATTAGTTTCAAATAAAGGGAAAATGTGTCCATGCTCCTCAAAATAACCTACAGCACCAGCATATAGCCATGCCAGCTCTGAACTGTATACAGGACAGAACTAAATATTACTGAAGCAAAACAGCTCCTTTACAATCTTTTTCCTTTGGGACTATCTTTCATGCAGTTCTATGTATTTAGCTCCATGATGAAAGACAGTGGCTGCTGTCTGGTTTCCCCCAGGAGCTAGTTGCTTCTCTGTCTTCATGTACCATATGGGAAGGTAAGAATACAGTAACTTCCTCACAGGCATAAAGGCAAAAAACCAACAGCAAATCAAAGCCTTACACATTTACCTTACAACACGACCACTAAAATCAATGCCAAAAAAAAGAAAAAAAAGAAATCATCTAAATTCATAACTGTCTCATTAAACAAATTCAGACAGTAAGGGAATAGCCTCTCCATGAAGAAAGCAATGCTTCAAATTTCAATAGTTTGAGCATAAATGTCATTTGGCAAGAGGAAAAAATCAAGTGATTTTCCAGCTATTTAAACACAAAGCACAGCTTCAAGCTAATTAATGCTGTACCAGACCAGCCAAACTCTAATAAATTCATAGAGTCAAGAGTGGACAGAGCTTACATAAGAACCATCACTGAGCTAATAATATATGAACCTGTACTCTACAGTGAAGCTTTATGAGGGAAACAGAATAAAAATCATCCCCCTTGCAGTTTTATACAATTAGATAGAAGCCCCCTTTCAGGTGGAATGAGGATGTACCTCTCTACTTGCTCACAAAGATTGACTTTTGTAAATCCCACAGTGTTAATGGCACAAGAAAATAAGACTGTACAACTTGAACCATACACAGGAAGAGAAGATGTGTTCATTGAAGAGGTAAGGAATAAAGTTTGACAGAACTAAAAGAAATCCCAAAGCCCTTCTTTAAAATAAACTTCTGCTCTTGCACTGTCATTTATTTTGACTGACTGATTTGTAACTAGTATTATTCTTCTCTAGGATGCCAAAATAAACCAGCCTTATAGGTTGCTGAATTTACTTCTGCATTCAGTTCTTTCTTTTCAAAAGCTGGTTCTGACTGGCAGCAAAAGACTGTGCAAATCAACATTAACATCAATGATACTTGTTTCTTGATGAGCATACCAATCAAATAAGCACAATTATTTATACCACTACTCAGCAGAAAATGCACAAACACTGCTTTTAAACAGATGTTGATTAATATTGGTCTTTCCTCCCAGAAATTGATTTTCTCCACCAATTAAATACTGTCCAGACAAATACAGTTCTAATTCTGCCCTGGAATTCATAGCATTGATCTTAAGACCAACTTCCTTTCCATTTCACTAAACCTATGGTCCTAACCCCAAAAACCCTTGCTTACACAGACAATCCCACCACTTCAATTTTCTTTTTGAGCATCTTCGTGTTGTCTCCTACTCTCCTTTTTATGCAAGGAGGATTATCAAGAATATCCCCTTCTCAAAACTTCTCCTTAAAAAGCTTTCCTCTGCTATGACACCTAAAGAATACCAGTCAATGGTGGCTGAACACTAGATATGCAAAGACGTGCTTCTCTTTCAGGAACCTTATTTGACATTACCCTTTTCTTCTTCTCTCCCCATGTTAGCCTTCTTCTGATCCTCTTATTAGATCCTGATACTGCAAGTTCTCTCACCCTATGGTAAAAATGAAAATCATAAAGAAATTATAACCTCTGTTACAACTCTAAACTGGCTCTCCAGTGGCTATAGACCCATGCTTTACAGATTTGCCCATGGTACACTGGGGCCAGGGGCAGGATGGAAGCCACAATGAAAAAATTGTTCCACCTTTATTTTCTTCGAGCACCGTCAAGCACCTGCATTTAAACCTTACAGACTAAAAAAAACACCAAACCAACCTCAGTTATGGCCATATGTTAGTTAATGCTTTCAGACCTTATACATTCTGATGTTTTATACTAGGAGCTACTGCCTACACACACAAAAAGAAACCCCCTGAAAGCCAGAAGCACTTTATGTTGGAAAAGCTACTTTAGCTATTTGTAAAATTTGTAAAAGGTATTCTTAACATCCTAGGCTTGATATTCAAATTGATTAATGTTGACAGCTTCTTTTGACAACAAATCTATCACTGAAGGAGTGATAAATTCAGTATCAATGGGCAAATTAGCAACTGGCATCTCCGATGTTTGACAGTGACCAAGACCTGTCAGTTCTAACCAAATCACTGGTAATGCTTTATACTGAGCCTGATTTAAAAACAACGTAAGGATGCCAATAGACTGGGGAAGAGGAAAAGGGAAATGCTACAGGGGAGAAAACTTTACAGTCTACCCCAGTTGAACTATGGCTATAACATTACTCTTAACAGGTTGCCTACATTTATGCTACTCCATGAGAGGAGAGTATTTTACTTAAGGCATATTTACTTGTAGGGAAGAGCTGGAGCTCTCCACTAGGTACAGACAAACTAAAAAAAAAAAAAAATCCATCAGAACTGAATTTTGTGCAGGTTTCATCAGCACCATGGACCTTGTCAAGTTTAGCTGACTAAACTCTCATTGGCTTTTTTAAAATATGCAAGTTCAAAAGAAGCAGCAGGTGCAATCTTCAAGGTCTAGGAATATCACACTAGGTTAACAGAAAGGGACAGGTCAGACACTTTCAGTAAGAGGGAAATAAGTAGCAAGGCAACATATTTCACAGCACAATTAAGATATTCGCAATTTTAGTTATACCATCTAAGATCCTTTCTTTATCAACAAGAACAATAGCACTACCTATTTGTCAAAGACTTAACAGACAAACAAACACCAGCACACTGACTCAAACATAACTTTACACCTCCAAATCTTACTGCTGACCTTCCACTAACTGGTCCAAGGAGGAAATCTTCTTGGAGCCATCAATCGTGTAGATTGTTCTCACTCCCTGGGGCAGATTCACATTGTCAGACAGAGTTCGGGTCAGATCGGCCAGGAGAGCTTCAAAGGATCTAAACCGGTCAGGGGAGATGGCATATACAATCCCTTTAAAATACCGGTCTCCATTACGATAGAAACGAACTTTCTTGGCTTTTTTCTCAGAACTCAGGGTCTGTAGAGTACGGGTTCGGTAAAAGCTGCAGTGGGCACTGTGAGTAGGGCTGGGCAAGCCATTTACCCGGGACCCTCTGCCATATCGCTGCGCTTTATCACGCTCATCAAAATGCTCCAGCTCCATATCTCTCCCAAAGGACATCTTGAAGTTCAACCTAAGGGATGCACAAAAGAAGAGAAAAAAGTTTAAAAAACTTATACATTTTAAGGGAGATCACTTTAAGACTTCATGTTCTATACATGGTACTAACAGAGAACTACGTTCCAGGTGGAGAAAAATGTTTGAATGAAACTATGCTATGTTCACATGTTCATTTTACAGCCAACTCTCTCGCCACACCATAAAACCTAGTTTATAAGTTAGGCTTTTATACACATTAGAAATGCCACTCATGAAACAGACTGTTAGCAATATGCAAAAAGTGTTTGTTTAAATTCAGTGAGAACTCTGAAAATGAGGTGACAAAGTTCAGCTACTGGAAAAAAAGAACAAATGCATCAACTTTCTACTTTTTCTCATGTTATATTCAGGTGCTATTTGAGTCCAGTCTACCTTCTAGACCATTCATCCCCACTAAACTGTTTGTTCCAACTGTGATCTCAAGAGGTGTCATTTCAGAAGGGTAACTAGTCGCCAACAAGCAAGCAATTAAGAACTTACCATCAACCTGCACTGTCTAGTCCTCTGAGAACTACCACTACAAGTACATAGACTTAGTGGGTAAAGCCCACTGTTCAAAAGTCCTTGCACGTTCCAACCACTGGCTTCCCTACAGCCTAAGCTTTGTAATAAATTACTTCTGTTCTCCTTGTGCAAATACTTTGCGTACTCTAAACCAAGAAAAGTGCTGAAATGCCATGAAATGAAAAAAAAAATAAATATTAGAGGAAGACAGGAAACTAGTATTTTTCAGTAAGCAAGCTACTTCAGTGCTTTATAAAATTTGCAAGTAGTTTTATTAATATCCTAGGCCTAATATTCAAATTTATTAAGGCTGACAGCTTATTTTGCATACAAAACTATCACTGAAGGAGTGATAAATTCAGTGTCGATGGGCAAATTAGCCATTGGCACCTGCCATATTTGACAGAGACAAAAACCCATCAGCTCTGACCAAAATGATCCCAGTTGTTCAATATAGTTCACATACGTGAAAGTTCATACGTTCTGAAATTAAATCAAGGAGGTAGGTACTTCCATTCCTTTTTACAACAGCACAAGACTAAATACTATAAATTGCACATTAATCTTCACAAATAAAAGAAACAAAAATATGAAAAAAAATTTAGAATGACCGAAAGATCATTAGGTTCAAAACACATTTCTTTTAATTTAAGAGCCACCTAGATTTGCAGTTGTCTGCAGAAGAGCAAAGCACAGTAAGTTTATTTATAGCACAGATACACAGACCTAATTTAGAAGTGGTCTCTCTCATTGATTTCCAATAAAAAGAAAAAAAAAAAAAAAGCAAGCACAAGCTTTGTTTCAACCAATTATAAATTGTGTGACCATTAAGAAAAAAAATAAGTATCTTCAGACCAGCTGTAAAACAGTAAGAGGAAATACAGAAAGACTTACGGATGCTCCTTATCTTACAGAAGTTTGTATTAAACCAACGATTATACAGATGGACCCTGATGCTGCAAAGCTGTAGGGGATGTGCTCAGCAAGTTCTGAGAGCTGTTCACGTGCTTGACTAGAATAAGCACCTAAGGCTAACCACTGCAAGCGCGGGGCCTCAGCGGAAATTATTTACCCTGCTTTGGTTACAGCTCAAACCGTATTTTGTTACATTAGCACATGATCCGGTGCTAATGTATATATGCAACATTTATATTTGTAAATACTTTAAAGGTACATAACATGTGCATATACACACACATATATACTGCAGCATACATACAAAAGAAAATGACTAATCTATGTTTTCCTCCTCAGTACACATACACAGATACACCTCACCTCAGTGAAAAGAACAAGAACATTTGCTTTGGCATTTCACTGACACTTCTCTATGGGTTAACCACAAAATATCACTCAGTGGCCACAGCTTAGGATGAAGACTATGCCACCACCATTTCCAGGTTAAAAATTATTTGTATTTACTTCAAATTTACTTTTAATTCCAATGAGAACCTGCTATTCAGATTTAAACAACCCCAGAACTCACAATTCAGAAACTGTATCTCAAAAGCAATGCCTGCGGCCAAGAAAGATGGATTTTTCTTAGGTCTGCTGTTTCATTTGCTCAAACCACCTCGAACACACACACAAAAAAAATGGAAAAACAAGTTTACATGAAGATACAGTTTTTTAAGAGACTTTCAGCTTTACCAGTTTTGGATGAGGGTAGGAAGAAAGGCGAGTCACTGCCCTTTCTTCCGCACACTTACACTTTAATCAATAATGGCTGTAATTCCCAATTACGCCCTTTAAAACAGAAATAGAGCTCCCCTTGAACACCAGTCCTGCTATTTAGAGAAAAGCCCGTTCAAACCACAAGGTCAGAGCAGACAAAGAAATCCTAAACAATTTGATCTGATCAGATGTTTCCCTCTCTGTGTGTATAAATATACACTAATATACAGCGAGATATAGAAAATATAATAGGACACACCCCTGGGAAACCACCATGCCCAACACTTTGCCCCCTAGGAAAGAATTATTCGTGATGCAGGTGTGGGTGAGCAATTACATATAACAATCGTACGTGCCGATTAAAAAAATAAATCAAATACATCATGCCGCGACGCGACTGGGACCCAGCGAACATCGTTCGGAGCCCGAGCAGCAGACTCGGTCATCGGGGGGGGGTGAGGAGGGACAACGTGGGTACATGCGGCAGAGGCTTCAAGGGGGGGGAAAAA